AAAAAAAAAAAAAAAAAAAAAAAGAAGTGTACAACTTATGCACACAAACTTATAAAAGACGCAATAAAAGAAAAAACTCGAGACGTGAAGGAACAGCAATGCATGCGCCAGACCGAAATCTCTGAAAATTTACTTCACCGTCTTTCATCTCACACACTACAGGATTGGAGGGATAGTCAAGCATATATGCATGTGTTCCAGTGTCAAGTAACTAGACTAAAACTACTTTCCGATCTTTCATTGTGCTATGTTTGTGTTCTTTTAAAATTGAAGCATCTAATTTCAAAATGTCACAATTGAAAATTTTGGGAGTCATTACAAATCTCTTTGCACTTTCCCTGCGTCATTGGTAGTTTTTGTTTGTTGTGTAGATGATCTACATTCAGTTGCCCAAATTTCTTCAACTGATCTGATCTATATATTATTCAAATCCATTATTGAGATCACTTCTGAAAGTTTTAGTTTAGAGAATGGTTATTTTCTTTACTATCAAGGTCATTTGGTTTGACTTGGACATCAATATGCTGTTAATGTCAGGCAGTTTTTATCATACAACCTACATCTAGTTTCTATAAAGTAGCTAGTGAAGTTTTTATTTTCAGGATAGTATACCATTTTCTTGTGAAACGTTCTTATCAGTCTTTTCTGCCTTGAATTTTGCAGTATTCATGGCCAATGTGCAATTATCATGTTTGATGTCACTGCACGGTTGACATACAAGAATGTTCCAACATGGCACCGTGACCTTTGCAGGTTCGTCATTGAATTTTGCTTCTCCTATTCTTTTGCTTTTGCTCTATGGTCTTAAATTTTCATGTTTGTCTAATTTAGGGTTTGCGAGAACATTCCTATAGTTCTTTGTGGCAACAAGGTTGATGTGAAGAACAGGCAGGTGAAGGCAAAGCAAGTGACTTTCCACAGGAAGAAGAACCTGCAATACTATGAAATCTCTGCTAAGAGCAATTACAATTTTGAGAAGCCTTTCTTGTATTTGGCAAGAAAAATTGCCGGGTATCAATTTCAACCACCAGCGCCAACTAGCTTTTGTAGGTTGTTTTATGAGGCTAACTTACCTTATTTCTCGTTGCAGGGATCCCAATCTCCACTTTGTTGAATCTCCTGCTCTTGCTCCACCAGAGGTCCAGATTGATCTGGAAGCACAGAGGAAGTAAGCATTTTTATTAATATTTCTTGATACTTCTCAAATCTAATACTAGCCATTGTATGAAAGCCCGTTTTCTTTCTTATAATTTTGACAGGCATGAAGAAGATCTTGCTGTTGCCGCTGCTCAGCCTCTTCCTGATGACGATGATGATGCATTTGATTAAAGAGCTCATCCTTGCTTCTGAGTTGCCTCGCTGTCTGAACTTTGTTCTTCTCAGTTTGCTAGGGTTCTATGGTGTTTTTACATATGCCGGGTTCTAGGTTAAAAGGGAAAAAAATGCTGGAGAGGTTGAACGAGAGTTTGGGGAGTCAGTTTCTTTTATGTGCCTGCGTTTTAAGTATCACAATACATTTGTATGAAGTATTGTAGGGAGATCGTTGCATTCTCTCTACATAATTTGGACCCCGGTTTTGTATGGGGGGAGCATAGCAAGAGCTTATATGTGCTTATGTGCATTCAGCAGATACCTAAGGAAGCCTGATTCATTGTGTGATTCTGATTGGAGTTGGTATTCCTACACGGTACGGTTCTCCTTTAATATGCCTGATTTTTCTACGGTAAGAAACTGATTGCAAAAGGGATATTTAGACCTGAAGACGCTGCGTTGTTTCGCTAAATTTCATCTTCGAGCTTAGGTTCTCGCTTAAATAGCATAAAAATTTCTAGCTTCACCCGCTATCTCCTCTTGGCGATCTTGTCGTGATGATGAATAGTACGTGATTTGTGATCTGAGTTTGGCTGGTCCTCCAATCTAAATTGGGGATTTTTGTGATCTTTCCTTGCTGTTGCAAAAAGGCTCTGCCTTTCTTGGCAAATCTTATTCTTGATGATTTACGCCAAATTTTGGTTTTATTTTTGGGATAATTTTAGTGATCAACTAAATGATCTTTCAAGCTCCTCAAGATCCATCTCCAATTTCTTTCTGCCCTGTTTTACACAGCGACTCTGCCGTTCTAAGGTAATTTTTTTTTGGCTATATTGATATATTTGTTTATTATTCAAAGTTTATTTTAAAAAAACGTTGTTATCAGAATTGAGAGTCTCCTTCGTATCAGTATCATAATTAAGAATTCTCCTTTCAAATTTTAATATCATGGGCGTGCGCTTTCCTGATGATGTTTGTTCGATTAAAGTGCTTTCTCATAATCAATGCATTCATATACGCTGGTATAAGGAACCTTCATGCTTAGTTTCATCTGATAGAATTAAGGATCTTAGAAGAAAAGTTAGTAACAAATATATAACTTCATACGACAGTAACCTTGAATGTGATCGGTAATTTTATTCCAATACTAGAGTTGAACAAAAAAATAAGGGAAAAATGTTTCAAGGCCCCCAAAAAAAATCCGGTTGTGGCCCAGACTCATCAAATAATTCCCTTAGCATTTAGCCCCATAAAATAGTGAAAAATATGGCCCAGCCCTAAAAACCCATTCATATACATGTATTGGGTGTATTTTGACCAACATACCTAGAAAAATATGGCCCAGCCCTAAAAACCCATTCATATACATGTATTGGGTGTATTTTGACCAACATACCTAAATTACCCTCATCTCTCTCATAGGAAAGTATTGGGTGTATTTTGACCAACATACCTAAATTACCCTCATCTCTCTCATAGGAAAACCGGCTAAATGAGTTCCTCCTTTGGCGGTGACCGCTCCCATCGCATTTAAGGCGAAGCGACGGAGGAAAGTGGGGGAAAAAAGCGCGCGCTCCCTCTATTACTGTGCTGCTTCATGAGCCTTTATTATAAATCGGTTAGTTCTAGCTCTCACTCTCTCATTAATGAAATTAGGGTATGTTCTTTAACTGTCAACCACGCTTATGCGGCTGAAATCCCCTCAATTACTCCTCACCTCCTCATAACTGTCTTCTAACTGTCCTCATAACTCTCAACCACCCAATGGCAGCCGATGACTTGATTTGCATGGTGTCTTTAGGCGAGAATGTCATATTTATGAAGCTAATGTCGACAACAAGCTTTTATGAACTGATGAAATATGGTGTGGCTGAAAGATTGAAAGTACCTGAAGAATCTTTTTCCTTGATATATAAATCTGAGAGGCACCCCAACCTGAGTTTTTCGGTTGAGAACGAAGATGACCTGAAGTGCATGTTGGAGCACAATCGAAATATTGGTTGTACGGAGATTCATATGTAGGCTGCTGTTAATGTAGAGTGTTCCATGTCAGGGAAGAATCAAAAAGTTATTAGCGAAATGTAAGTAATTAATAAACTCTTTACAACATTGTGCTTAGTGTGATGTAAACACTGTTATCTTTTGGTCAACTTTCAATCACCCCTCTGGGCTTTAAATCCCCTGAATGTAACTGTATAACCGTCATCATAAATTTAAACAACCCCCCAACGGGTTCCAAAGAGTTGATGAGCATGGTGCCGTCAGGCGATAATGCTAATTCTGCATGATTTGAAGTGCACGTTGGAACGCAAGTAAATAACAAGAATTGTTCTGATTAAAATGCAAGATGTTGATGCCAAGTAGTGTCCTACTCCTGAGGAAAAAAACAGAAAGTTATTACTGATTTGTAAGTAATAGAATGAACTCTGTTTGAAACTGGTATATGTGGGATGTTGAAATTGTGATTTCAGGTTTCGATGCTACTTTGGGGAAAAATAGTTGTCATCGCTGATGGGTACATTTTAACCCTTCAGCTTACAGGTTAATTATCTAAGATATATGTTAACTATTATATGAACATGTTAACTCTCATTGGAACATGTTATACTTTTCTTGAACATGTTAACTTTCGTCTTTCTGTGTTAATCATGTCCATTGTCTGTTAAATTTCATTGCTCTATGTTAAGCTTTACTCAAAATGGTTAATTTTACACCCAGTTAGTTAACTTTTGGTGTGCTGTGTTAACCATGCATATTGTTAACTTTCATCATAGTGTTGTTAACTTAAGTTATAAGAAGATTATTTAACATAGTGTGCAGGATATCTCACTGTTTGATTAAATTGTGCAACATGGATGCCTCTTTGAATGCAGATTATAGTTGTCCTCCTCCAGGAAATGCATCCAATTCAGAGAGAATCCAAACTGATTTTCCGTCTAGTGAGATTGTAATGAGGGCTGATGATATTCTCAATTACACTTCAAGGATTCCTCAATGGTGGCACACGACATTAACTGAAAAGGGGTAACAATTTGAAACTGTAACTGAATTGAAACTAGCTTTGTAATACTATTCCATGGCCAAAAAATTTGAAAATGAATTTCTAAAGAATGAACCCAAACGTATCCGCGTTTGTTGTCGATATAAGGAGACGTATGGATGCCCTTGGATGCTCTTTGCAGCTCCTGTTAAAAATGATAAAAGAATGGAAATCAAAAGGTTTGTGAATGAACACAGTTGCGGACAACATTCTAACTTGTCAGGACAATCACGGGCATCTCGCAAGTTCATAGCAGCCCAATTGCGACCGGTATTAAAGGCACGATCTGAAATCCGCCCAATTGATGTGCAAAAGGACTTCCTCACTCGATTTGGATTGAGACTTGAATACAGTAAGATATGGTGGGGCAGAGAAAGAGCGCAGCAGGATATGTATGGTGATAGCTATGAGGCTTATGATCAATTAAGATTGTAAATATTACAGTTAATTTATAACTTGTGTACAAATGTTTATCGTAGCCGCTTTAATGTTAATATATTACCCTTATGTTCCAATGTATTATATTTATTTACATGTCCAGAAGCGGCATTGTTGTACAGGTATGAGCAAATGGTGAAGCAAACGAATCCAGGAAGCTACATTTGTATGAGCAAATGGTGAAGCAAACGAATCCAGGAAGCTACATTTGTATTGACCAGAATGAAGGAAGGTTCATAAAACTGTTTATATGTTATGCTGCTTGCATCCAGGGTTTCTTAAATGGGTGTAGACCCCTTTTATTTTTGGATAGGACCTTTTTGAAAGACAGATATAAAGGCATGCTTCTGAGCGCCATAGCCTATGACGGAGACCAAGGGATATTTCCACTTGCGTACTTCTGAGCGCCATAGCCTACGACGGAGACCAAGGGATATTTCCACTTGCGTATTGTATATGTGATCAAGAAAATATTGATAATTGGAGATGGTTCCTACAAGGCCTGTGGTCCATACTGTATGAAAGGTTGGACCCGTACAATCCCCCCCACCAATTGGTAATTATTTCTAATGCCGACAAGGGGATTCGAGAAGTCGTGAGAGAATATTTCCCTGAAGCAATTCACTCACGCTGCGTTCTGCATCTAGTTAAAAACTTTAGATCAAAGCTCAAGGATTTGGGAATGAAGGCAAAGGACACACAGGTTTTGGGGAATTTGCTCCAAACTGCTTGCTATAAATACACTATAGCGGAATGGAACGACTACATGAAGGAAATTTATGAGATGGCTCCAGTCGCATATGAGATTGCAATTAATTACTCACCAGAGCATTGGGCAAATGCCGTCTTCCCTGGCATTAGGTATGCATTCAATCATTATGACGTTTTGCGGTTGATGTTAACTATTATGCATATATGTGAAGTATCCTTTTTATAGGTTAACATTCGCTGATATATGTTAACTTTCACCAATATATGTTAACTATGATGTTTTTATGTTAGCCTTTAGCAGTATAGGTTAAGTTTTATGGTCACTTGTTAAGAAGATAACATATTATATGTCCATCATACTTCCTATATGTTGTCCTTTGCAGATATGGCCATGTAACCTCTAATGTCGCAGAATCCTTTAACAACTGGATACGTGAAGCCCGTTTGTTACGTATCCTGCAAATGGTGGAGCATATCCGAAAACAACTTATGACTTGCATGAACAACAGACGGATAATGGCGTGTAAGTGGACAAGCTATCTTTGTCCTAAAGCTGAGCAGATTGTTAGAGAAAATATGGAAAAAAGGGCGCACTTTAGAGATTAGGCAATCTAGAGAGGATATTTTCAAAGTGCAATCACATAGAACCACTCACGTTGATTTGGAGAATAGGACATGCACTTGCCGAGCTTGGGACGTAGCCCGTATTCCTTGTGTCCATGCTTATGCAGTCATTATTTATATGAAAAGAGATGTATATCAATATTGTGATTGGTTCATGTCCGTAGAAGCGTTTAAGAAGAGCTACGACGAAATATTATATCCCATACCAGACTATGAGAAGCAGAGTGTGCCCAAGGATGAAATCCAGATTTTGCCACCAATTACCACTAAGAGGAGGGGAAGAAATAGAACAAGACGCATAAACAACAAAACCATATACAAACGGCCCGTCAAATGTTGTAAGTTGTTCCTTATGCAATATAAAATGTGCACATAGGAAAGTTATAAGCTTAATAGAAGTTCTAACTTTCCCTTCATTCCCTCTTGAGATTGCGAGATGAAAACGTCAGAGGGTGTTCAGTCATGGGAAGAGGTATGTTGTTTTTGTAACATTCCAACACCCATGAGGCAGTGCAAAAATAGGAGGAACAAGGGTAGATACTTCTGGGGATGTGCAAATTTCCCAAAGAGGTAATGCAAGTTTTTTGCTTGGGCTTACAGTGAAGATGCAATGGTAAGTAGGAATATTCCAGATTGCCCAGAAGTCCCCGTTGAAGATGATATGGCGGTCAAGGCAAAGAAGTTGAAGAAAGCACTAAAGCAAGCAAACCGCGAAGTTGAAAAATGGAAACTTTGTTCATTCTTCCTGTGTTGTTTTTGTATGGTTCTAATATCCATCATCTTTGTCATCTCTAACTGAATTTGGTCAAGTATCACGTGCATACGTTAACGTTTACTATAAATGGTTAAGTTTCAGAGCTATATGTTAACTCTAACTGATAGTGGTCAAGTTTTAGAGCTACATGTTAATTATTACTTATAGTGGTTAAGTTTCAGAGCTATATGTTAACTCTAACTGATAGTGGTCAAGTTTTAGAGCTACATATTAACTATTACTGATAGTGGTTAAGTTTCATAGCTACGGGTTAACTTTTATTGAAAGTGTTAACTTTCAGCGCTATATGTTATCTTTCATACTTATATGGCAGCCAATGCAAGTTTTGTGTCGGAACACTTTCAGCGCTATATGTTATCTTTCATACTTATATGGCAGCCAATGCAAGTTTTGTGTCGGAACATCAATGACATATACTACTGTTTGCGTCGAAAATTATTGTATTCATTGCGATCGAATCTATTACAACTTTAGTCATTACAATAAACTCGAATAAAATAAAAAAAAGTTGATCTTTTTATAAGATCTCCTTACACAATGAAAATAAAAAAAAAGAATTTACAACTTTATCAAACAAACGCAGGGAGATCGTTTATCGGTCTTCTGCTTGCGTGGGATCTTTGCCTGTGCCGGGGTTTATCCGTGGACGACCTTAGATCTGGATCCGGTTGATGAAAAATTCGGCAGAGCTTCGTCTTCACCGAGGAAGTATTTGATTTGAAGCGCTGAGATCGACCAAGCGAAATCAGGGCTCTTCTCGAGATTAAGACCAAGCCTAATCTCAAGGGACGGACGGGAACGGGCGTCGGATCTCTCGAACTCTTTTTCTTTATGCCGAAGAACTCGCCAAGATCTGTCAACCCTCACTGAAATTCGTGCTCCTTTGACTCCATAATCCGGCAGCACCTCCTCGTCTTGATAATCAATCGCCCCTGCTGAAAGGAGGCCCTAGGTTCATATTTATAGGCCTCGGATGCGGTTATTTGGATGAGAACAAGTGATTTGGCTCTATCTTCAGTTGACAACAGCCCAACCACGTTTGGGGATGATATCAAGTCAGTTGGGAACCCCTGGAACAGATAAATCCTGACGCGTTTCGGGCCTCTCGATTCCTTCAATGAACGTCTGACCCGCGCTTCGAGTGATCAAACCTATAAAAGTTAGGGTCATCTCACACTCCCCCTCCCACCTGGTCAAACCTTCCTACAGTTAGGACCAAAACCACAATTCCCTCTCGAAAAACGAGAAATCCATCTTTAGTTCGGTAATCAAACCTTCCGACAGTTAGGGTTATCCGAATCTTTTTGATTCTCGGAGTGGAGATCCCACTCTTAGTTTCACATTCCCGGATTCTTGAAATGGAGATCCCACTTTGAGTTTCCTTTTGCAACTGGAGATAGAATATAAAATTCTTCCTCTTCAGCTTTGGGAGATAGAATATAAAATTCTTCCTCTCCCATTTCGGGTTCGTCTTTGCCCCAAGAGAAGACACCACCTTTTCAACTCCTAAAATCCGTGTCTCACAGGCACGGAGAATTTTATCCCGAATCCTGAGTAGGGATAAGTCAATGCCTAACACGCGTTGCCGGTTTAGTCTTTTACCGATTGAAAAAGACACCAGAATCCAGTCTGGGGCATTTTATCCCGAAGCCTAAGTAGGGATAAGTCAACGCTTAACCCGCGTTGCTGGGTGGTTCGTTCCCGTAAAAATGACCGAGTCTACGTATTCAGCATCGTAGCAACAAAAATCCATGCCTTTTATGCATGGGGAATTTTATCCTGAATCCTGAGCAGGGATAAGTCAACGTCTAACACGCGTTGCCGGTTAGTCTTTTGCCGTGAAAAGGACAAAAGTCCACATATTCGACATTGTGGCATGTCGTTATTCATAACGCCAAAATCCGTGCTTCACACGCGCGGGGAATTTTATCTCGAACCCTAAGTAGGGATAAGTCAACGCCTAACTCGCGTTGCCGGTTTAGTCTTTCACCGATTGAAGAAGACACCAGAATTCCAATCTGGGGACTTTTATCCCGAAGCCTAAGTGGGGATAGGTCAGCGTCTAATACACGTTGCCGGGTAGCCTATTCCCGTAACAATGGCGAAGTCTACGTATTCAATATCGTAGCATCAAGTCTAAGGGAGTTCATTCCTTTAGCACAACGTCACATGCGGAACAGACTTAAACAATCCGCATGCAATCCCGATTCAAACGATAATCGGTAAAGGCACGCCAAATCCGTTGAAGGCTGAGGGTTTGCCAAAAACCTTAAAGTCTACGTCTGATACACGTCGCTGTTTAGTCTTTTCACAGGAGAAAGACGAAGTCTACGTATTCAATATCGTAGCACTAAAAGAGTTAACTCTTTTAGCATAACGTTACATGCGGAACGGACTTAAACAATCCGCATGCTAGCCCGACTCAAACGGTAGTCGGTAAAGGCTTATCAAACCCGTTGATGGCTGAGAATTTGCCAAAAATTCTATAAATACGAGTCATTGACGTATCAGCTTCATTAGTTGGTCTCACGACTTGAAATCCAACAAACTTCAGGATAAGATCCACACGTGCAGATGAATCAGCTTTAATAGTTGGTCCTGCAGCCCAACATTCGGGACCGTCACGCTCCAATGCCTTAAGAGCTTAAACTGTGTAGACTCCAGCAAACGTACGAGTATAAACTGTGTTAACGCCGGTCAACGCGTTATAGTAAAGATCGATGCCGGTCAACGCATCAGCAATTTCGCCAAAATAAGGCAAAAGATGACTCCAAGGATTTCAGTTACAATCAGATATGAATTTCCGACGGAGAGGATCAGTTCAAAGTCAACTCAATAGCACGAGCTAAGTTCAGAAAGTTACACACCAATCTCAGTTCAAGATTTCGACAACGGTCAGACGATAAACGCAGCGCCGGAAGAACTTCACCTATTCGACGAAACAATGAATAGATTGAAGACTGAAGAAGTTAAGAATTGAGATAGTTCAAGGTCACTCTACGAAATTGAGGAGATGGCCTATCTTATCCAAAGCATTCCAGACTCCTCAATAAAAGAATGAGTCTGGAATACTTTGGAGGGGGTATCTGTAGGCGTCTAAAAATGCCTATAGGTGTCCGCACACAGCTCGAGACAGAGAGAAGACAACGAACATCGTTATCCGAGTCTAAGAGGATTATCTGACGCCGACAAGCACCTGAAGCAAAACGACGAATCAAGTGACCTGCGCGCTCGACAGTCAGCTCGCGCGCGCCAATCAGCTCGCATGCGTCAATCAACACGTGCGCGTTAATCAGTTCATGCGCGTCGATCAACACGCGCGTGACAATCAGTTTGTGCACGTCGATCAACACGCGCACGTTAATCAACTAGCACGCGTCAATCAACTCAAAGCATACAAATCAACGAAGCGAACCAAACACGCGAAAGGACAAGTCTCGAAGAAAGAGAACGGAAAAGAAGAAAAAAATCAACAAACCTGCGCGAGCGCAGGACAGAACAAACTCCGACCCGCGCAAGCGCGGGTCGGACTGGTCCGACCCGCGCAAGGGCGGGACGGAACAAACCGACCCGCGCAAGCGCGGGTCAGACCAGTCTGCCGCGCAGTTTGGTACCCGAAACGCGTTTTGACGGTTTTAAAGTGGTTTTTCGCAGGATTCATCTGTTCCAGGGGTTCTTAACTGGCTTGAGATCATCCCCAAACGTGGTTGGGCTGTTGTCAACTGAAGATAGAGCCAAATCACTTGTTCTCATCTAAATAACCGCATCCGAGGCCTATAAATATGAACCTAGGGCCTCTTTTCAGCAGGGGCGATTGATTATCAAGACGAGAAGGTGCTGCCGGATTGTGGAGTCAAAGGAGCACGAATTTTAGCGAGGGTTGACAGATCTTGGCGAGTTCTTCGGCATAAAGAAGAAGAGTTCGAGAGATCCGACGCCCGTTCCCGTCCGTCCCTTGAGATTAGGCTTGGTCTTAATCTCGAGAAGAGCCCTGATTTCGCTTGGTCGATCTCAGCGCTTCAAATCAAATACTTCCTCGGTGAAGACGAAGCTCTGCCGAATTTTTCATCAACCGGATCCAGATCTAAGGTCGTCCACGGATAAACCCCGGCACAGGCAAAGATCCCACGCAAGTAGAAGACCGATAAACGATCTCCCTGCGTTTGTTTGATAAAGTTGTAAATTCTTTTTTTTATTTTCATTGTGT